AAATCTGGGTTTGGAACTTCGAAAATGCTTTAACAAACTCAAGAATGGAGTCCACATAACCGAATGTGCGCCCTGCTGTGATGTCAGTGGCTCTAAGGAACTCTGTCTGTGCATTTAGCCCAAAACTTCATCTTGATTAACAATGGAATCAGAGACCCAAAACTTCATCTGAAACAGTTCATCTTCCCTCACCCACCCCCCCCAACCAAACGAACCAAAATTCACCCACCTCTACCGTGCCGACAATCGCAATCCACCCACACATAGGCTGCAGCGATAGCCACAAACCCCCTCCCCCCCAAATTAGCAGCAAGAAATTGACTTTACCAGAAACTTGCTTAGACGTCACATAGAAAATCCTTAAGCCATTTTCAATCTCTTATCTCTTCTTCTCCTCTTTGGTCAAGATAGTCTCTTCGACAAACCATTTCAGTAGGAAATCTATATTTTTATCGAGGAGCTCCATTTCTGATCGGTTGTTATGGTCCAAATCTCTAATCCAGCTTACGTAGATCTACCTAGTTGGGCAATAGGTTTCTGACGCCTTGGGTTCGATGATTCGAAGAGGCTGATTTCCCATATTTGCAGATTTCGGGTGGGGGTGGTGTGAGTGAGATGGATGGAGAAGAAGAAGGTGGAATGAATTTTTAATTTTAATTATTTGATTATGGTTATTTTATTATTAGAAAAATGTAAAATTACTATTTTAACCTTTTAAAATTAGTCAACATTATTGTCAAAGTCAATTATTTGGTCAACTAACGATAAAACTAATAGAAACCATCTATTGGACTTCAGTTGCGGACATTTTGAAAGGTTTGATACCGTTGGTAGCAAAAATGAAAAGTTTGGTACCATGGGTGACACAAATGAAAAGTTTGGGCAAAGTCTGCTACTAAATGAAAGGTTTGGTTCCGCTGCAATTATCCCTATAATCTATTTAATAGATTTTACAATATTTTTAATTTATATTGTTCTATTGGAATTGAACTTAACTCCATCGACTATTGATCCAACTTTAATCGACTTAATGCCTTTCAAATCACCCTTATTAATGTTACTGAAATTGGTCCAAATTGAAATGATATCAATTTTAAATAAATTGTTCAAATTCAACAAAAGATGTCACAACCATTGGGTCCATAGAAAAATTGTCCAACTTGAATTGGACTCAAGTCCAAACCAATCAACCCAATCCAAACCAACCCGAGTTTAGTCGGTTTGGATTGTGTTGGATTTCAACTGTAAATGTGTTGATTTCGATTTGAATTATTGTCAAATCTAACATATTGGGTTGTGTTTGAGTTGGACTCAAAACCAATCCAATCCAACCTACGCCCAGCCCTATTAAAAAGTGTCGGGCATTTTTTTTCTCTCTAAAAAAAAAAAAAAAGAACCTATCCACGTGGCACAATGTAAAAAATGATGTACATGTAGTATGATTGTTACTTGGAATTATCTGCATCAGTTATGTGTAATTTGTGGGCTCAAGTTTTATGTTAATGTTGTTCAACTACTACTCATCATTTTTTCATTTTACGTCGACTACATGATATGTGTCTCATAAAATGTATTTTGAAAAATGGATAAAAGCTGGTGGTGGAATGAATTGTGTAATAAAAAATTCAACCTAAAGATTAAAATCAAAATTTTAGTAGAGTTTGATAAAAGACAAAAAGTTGAGAAAATATGTGGTTGAATAGTTGTGGAATTGTGATTAAAATTGATTGTTAACTTTGACTTAATTTAAAATTTAAATTTTAATCATTACATGTGGCTAAGTTGGATAAGATTTTAGCCAAAAAAATAGAAAAGTCAAAGGTCATTTTGGAAATGGATGATGCTAGTGGTACATAAGTATCTACATAAGGGTCTACATAATACTGACGTGGCATGTGATCCACCTTTAATTCAAATCTGACACTTACACATCAAAGACCGGATGATTGTCACTTCATCATTATGTAGAGCTTTATGTAGAGGCTTATGTACCACTAGCATTATCCTTTGGAAATATGGGTTTGTATTTGGGTTACTTTGGCATATAACCTCCCGTGTAAGACTGATATAAAAAAAAATAGGGAAAGATAATTTTATAAAAGAATAAAAAAATAATTTTAATTTAATCACGAAATATTCAGATGGGTGTAAAAATAATTTTATTTCTTGAGGAAATTTTGAAATTCTAATATCTTTATACAAAATATATTACCAAAATCTGTTCGTGATGGAAAATTGCAGTAGGATTAAACTATCCTAAATTAATTAGAAGACATCAATCCTTAAATAATTAGAACGGACCACTTCCAAAAACTGAGGAATAGGATAAAGTAAAAATTATATTCCAACTACAACTAGAAGTCTTGGGCAAGGTAGCTTCTATAAATTGTGAGTAAGCACATACGGATATAAGCACAGAGAAAATAGAAGAGGAAATCAACATTCACATACGCGATTTAAGCGATTCTTGTTTTGCTCATAACAATGGAGAATATGGAGGGATCAAGAAAGAAGGGAAAACCGAAAGTAGGAATTGAAATCGATATTAAGAAGTTGGATGAACAGTTGCAGAGGCATATAGACAAAACATTAATGCTGAGAAAGAAAAAACCGTGCGACGATGACGACAAGAATTCCAGTATTGAAGTTTCATCAGTGAAAGAAAAAAGGGAAATCGATCCCAATAAACTGCTGCTGAAGAGTAAAATCGGACAAGGTGCTTTTGGATCTGTTCATAGAGGTGTATACGATGGAATTGACGTCGCAGGTAATGTATGCATTAATAATATGTTCTAACCCATTTTTAGTTTCTTGATGTTATCTTATAAAATCTTGCATGCAATGGAAGTTGATAATTGATTTTGGATTAAATAATTATGTTTAATTTAGTTTCCTGTATAAGAAAATAAATGTTGTTGTTTCAAGAAAACTATTCTCTTGCGATCGTTTCAAGAAAACATAACACAACGTTTTTCTTCGACTTTTAAGGGGATTTAACTGCAAGAAACATTATTTAGTTTGGCACTGTGATGCATATACGGTTTTGATGTGTTTTACAAGAAATAAATTCGTTGGGATTACGTGCAAAGATTAAATTATATATCATAATAAATATTTCAGGTTTCATTATTCGTTAATCTTAAGTTCTAATTTTCCTGTGATTAATTATCAGTTAAACTACTGGACTTGGGAGATGGGACCCAGAGAAATTCTTTGCATAGGATTTTCTTACAAGAAGTTTCCATATGGAACAAGTTTGATCATCCAAACATTGTCAAGGTAAACTTAAACCTCCTTAAGTTTGATCACAAAGTTTTATATACTATATGTCTTGTTTTATGAGGTGGAAGGTGTAGTACTTATTCTTATATTGTCCAATATTTGGTAACACATATCAAGCATGCCCTCTTAGACGGGCTTGTTCCATATTGTCTCTCATTTTCAAAAAATAAGCAACTTCTTTTATTTATTCTCTAAACTCTCAAGGTAATTTGATTAAAGCATCTTGTAATGTGCACATCTCTCATTTTTCTTTAGTTGATTGGAGCAAAAAGGGGCATTGCAGAAGTTAACATGATATCAGATTGCAGCAAAATCGACAAGCCACAAAACATTTGTTTCATCGTGGTTGAGTATCTTATGGGAGGTACTCTTAAATCTTACCTCATAAGAAACAGGATAAAGAAGCTACCTCTGAAAGTAGTCATTCGACTTGCACTCGACATGGCTAGAGGGTATATTTCTAATCATATTATACACAATTATGATAAGAATAAGTCGAAAAGAGGAGTTTTCACTTCTCTATAATCCAAGTGATAAAAAAAAAAGTTGCTAATTTTTATTTTTATATTTTTCTCTTATAGGTTGAGTTACCTGCATTCTTTGAAAGTTGTTCATAGAGACGTGAAGACTGAAAATATGCTCCTTGATAAAGAAGGAAGAGTCAAAATAACTGACTTTGGTGTCTCAAGAATAGAAGCTACAAATCTTGCTGAGATGACAGGAAGAACAGGCACACTTGGTTATATGGCACCAGAGGTTTTTATTCTATTATCTTATCTATTCCTTTATTAATATAAGTTGTTAAATCTATTTGGCTAAGCTTAAAAGCATATTTGTATTTTTCATTTTAAGGTCTTAATCAGCAATGCATACGATCACAAATGCGACGTATACAGCTTTGGAATCTGCCTATGGGAAATTTATTGCTGTTCTATGCCATATCCCAACCTTGCATCAATTGAAGAAACTTCATCTGTTATTTACAAGGTATGTTGTTCACTTTATCATTTGGTCTTTATAGCAATATATTTGTAAAATATTTTAGCTGAGAGTTTAAGTTTTATATTCAGAGCTCGAGGCCAGAGATACCAAAGTGCTGTCCTAATTCTGTAGCTGATGTGATGAAGAAATGCTGGGATACTGATCCCAAGAGAAGACCCGAGATGGAAGAGGTGGTACGTATGTTGGAGGCTATTGATGTTTCTAAAGGAGGCGGTATGATAAAAGACGACGATCAACCCCAGAGTTGCTTTTGCTTACTCAGGCGACAAAGGCGATAACGTAGCAAACTTAGAATGAAGAAGCAAAGAAATCAAATTTGTAAAGATTTTCATTATACCTATACATGATAGGTACCACTCACTATTAGAACAAATTTTGTAACATTTAAATAGCATAAGTAATATTTTTATAAATACGTTGGGTTGGGTCGGGAAGATGATGATTGATGAGCATGCTACGGAAGTGTTAACGTTGTTAGAATGTCTTCGTAAACGTATGGGTTTTGACACCAACAGGCAACAACCTTACGTTTTTCTCATCTGACACTTGTACTTGTACCCTCCTATACAGCTAGTGTATGTTTGGTGCAAAATATTACAGGAACCATTCGAAGGATTTTCACAACTGACGTTTCTGTAGAGCCACTCTAAATTTTTGTAAACTTCTTTTGCGTCAGCATCAACTTTTTCATCTCCTGTTTCGAGCTTATAATTTTTGAAGTTTCTTTCAAAATTACTAAGGATTAGAACTTGCCAATTTCACCAGCAACTCGAAAATTATAATTCCTAGAAACCTTCTAATACGCCGTATGAATGCCTTTGATTACTATTTTATTCACAAGGATAGTTTATCTTTTCACATAAAGTTTCTGAAGTTTATGGCTTTATCAGGATAACGAAAGCACTGCAAAATTCAGCATTACAGATGATCAGATTAGCACTTGCTCCCTACATAAGCAAGGTCTTTCTGTAAAATGGATTGCCTTTCTGAAACATTACGTATATTCTGTATGTCATTAATTGGACGGAAGGAAGTTTTCATTTGATAAGCAGATTTAGAAGAACAGTCCCTACAATTTTTGGTTCAAATCTGACAGATGAGAAAGGAAATTTGCAAGCCTTAAGCTTGCAATAAACTTGTGATTGTTACGTACGGAAAGATCTCTCTACTGCATATAGTTCAAGAAAGTCCCTTTATTTACTTTTCGTTGTTTTAAATTCATTCACTTCAATCTTGATCTTAGAGTCCTTCGTGGCTCGTGTTTTGGCATAGTTTACAACACTTCGGCCTCTATATCAAGTAACCACAACATTTGCTGCACTCAGATCCTTAAAGCATAGAATCTTGTCAAATTGGAGAGTGGCAGGGACTAGAGCAGGACCAAAAGAAGATGAATTAGTCATTATGTGCTGAAACAAATAAAATAACCCTTTCTTTTACTGTGTACGTAGCTAATAGTGATCAGTAACAAAAATTGAATTTGGTTATCATAAAATTTTGCTTCTCATTTCGATCAATTATAAATAAATGAGAACCTTATGTTTGAATCTTGACCAATTGGTATTGGGTTTTAACTTAAATACCTCATAAGAGATCATGGGTTCGAATAGCTAAGAACACAATAGAAATCCACATTGTGGTGCAACTTCCGGCAGACATTAGGAGAAGAGGTATGCCAAAAATACGAACCTAATATAACATGGACCATATCGGGGCTTGGACCGAATCAGGTGGCCATGGTAAGCACCAAAAGGTCGAAATGGTAAAAGATAGTTAAGGTTGAGGTCAGGAGATCAAAAAAGGGAAATATGATAATGCCTTTCGTGTTTTTTTTTTTTAGACTGGAATTTTGTGACATTATTATTTACGTGCTGTTATTCTTTGTAGTTATTGTGGCTACAGTAAATGGATATAAATATGTTATAACAATTAGTATCAGTTTGATTATAAGAATGAAATTTGGGTGGAAAGAAAATGAATTCTATGAAATTGAATTACTCGGAACTTGTTTTACTGAGAATCTTCAATTAATTATGTTTGATTTGTATAATTTTCATGAAAATTGTCCATTAAAGAGATATAATTTGTTACAATTGGGGATATAATTTGTTTCAATTGAAAAAAAAAAAAAAAAAACCTAGAAAAAATTTTACTAAAAAACCAAGAAAAAGTAGAAAATGCTACTTAGAAAACCAATTCTCACCAAAGTGGTGGGAATTGAGTTACCTCAAAAAGCAAGAAAATGTGGCAAACGAAGAATATGTAGAAAACCAAATACCTGGAAAATGTTTCATATCAAACACTCTAAAAAGTGGAAAATAGCGAAAAATCTTCCATCTCTCATGAAAAACTTGCTCTATCAAACTGGGTCTTAGATGTAGCAATTTATTAATGAGAGCAAATAAGTTAGCGTTGAAGTAGCATCGATGACATTGACATTGCAGGCAATGCTTGCATATTTCCCACTCAAACACGCATTACAAGAATTCATAATATTTCACGCACTTTAATTAATTTCGACCCCATTATTTTGTTCTTGATTTTTTATTATGAATTTATAGAATCTTGCATGTTTATTTCAATATGCGTACCAATTCGTTCGTAGGTCTATCAGTGTGTCCAGGTGTGCTGTATTGAAGAAGTATCAATGTGTACATATGTTTTTGTTGACACGTGCATGAACGTCGAGGAACTTATAATGTTCACATTGTATCTAGTCTCGGACCTAGTTATGTAAGATTTTCGGGTGGAATCCAAAAACGTTAGCGAAACATTGTAAAAATTGCCTGTGGAGGATAACTGAAAAAGAGAAGGAAAACCTCCCTTCAAGGTTCGAGGGTCCCTCCCTGCATATTTCACCATTTACATATTTGTAAAATATTCTTTTACAAGTTGATGATTTGGTCATAAATTGAAGTAAAATTATCAAAATTTCTTCATCATTTAAACGATTGTGCTTATAGATGTCAATGGACAGAACCGGCTCAACTCGGCTCGTGGCTCCTTGAGAAACGAGCCACGAGCTCACGAGCCAAGCCGGCTCATGGCTCGTTTGCTTGTGGGTGAGCTCTGCTTGACCTACGAGGTGCACGAACTGGCTCGGTTCCCCTCGTGGTTCGTTAATTTTTTTTATTTTTATTTTTAAGCTTTTCCTAGTTTTTTTTTATTTTTTTTAAAGTCTTTTTCACGAGCCCACGGGTGCCCACGGAAGCTGGCTTCCCTAACAAGCCGAGCTCGGCTAGTAGACGAGCCCGAAGGGTTCGTGGATTGCTACAGTACGAGTCGAGGGGCCGAGCAGACGAGCCGCTCGGCTTGATTGCCAACACTAAGAGGTTGTTTGGGAGAGATTAAAATCATATTAAAATTGAAAATATAGTCGTTGGAGTTGACTTTTATTAGATGAGTGGAACCCAATAACTGCTATATTTTCAATTTTAATTAGATTTTAATCCGTCCCAAACAAGCTCACTAATTGTGCTTAAGCAATGTAGGTTAATGGTAAAAAAAAAATAAAAAATTAGAAGATTTTTTATTTTTTCTTGTTTTTATTTGGTTGGTGAGATTAGACTCGGTCAAAAAGTAACTAATGAAATTGAACAAGGCTACAAGTACAGGCATTTTCAACAGAAATTTGACAAGAAAAATACTTGGTGGGTTTGCATTGGAAGGAGAAAAAAAAAAAAGGCCCACCCCGTACAAATACTGTTAAAAAAGGCCTGTACTTGAGGCTTAAAATGAAATTTTGAATATCCATGCCCAGAAAAGTCTTATGGGGACGGAAACAGTAAGACTCGAAAAATCAGATACAAAATTACGTAAAACTTAGGCACCGTTTGGTAACCATTCTTTTTTTCATTCTCATTCTTCTACTAATTTTCAACTACACATTCATCAATAAAATAATATTTTCCATCACATCAATAACTTTTCCTTCATTTTCAACCACAAAAAAGG